GGGGGGGGGGGCGCGCTCTCTCTCTCTCTCTTTCGGAAGAATTTATAATTAAGGACCCGTCCCTCGCGAGGACAGAAACGTTTTGCTCCCTAGGAAGGGGCTGACAGCCCGATTGGTGTCACACAGCCCACAAGGCAGACAGCCAAGCCCTCGGTGTGGAGGTGGCGGCTCCGGCAGCTGCCCAGCTTCGAGCACTCACCAAATACAACAGCCCTCGGTGCCCTGAGCTCCCAGCGGATAAATGCGTGGGCGGAGCGAGCAGGAAAGGCAGGTTGAAAAGCCACCCAGCCCAGCTCCCAGGTGCCCGGCCCGCGGCTCCTCTGGTCTGTGCCCTGTTCTTAGTGAAGAGCGAGGGCCCGGCAGCTCGGAAAGGCTCTCATCAGAGAGTAAACAGGTTTCCCTGAACAAACCAGCTCCGTAACTAAGAGTGAGGCTCGTCTTTGAAAAATCACTTCTGGATGCAGACAGTCATGTAAGTGCAGCGTCCCCGATGCTTTCAGAGCGCCACTCTGTGAAAGTCTCCCATGTTTCCTGTCGAGCTGATGGGCGTGTCAAGAAAATCACCTCTCTGGCTGATGGATGTTTCTCTCTCATCGATGTTTCTGGCTCACTGTCCCTCTTCCTTCCTCTCTGTAAAAAATCAATAAAATATATTAAAAAAAAGAAAAGAAAATCACCTCCGGTCGTGCCTCCGCTGCAGGGTCTTTTAAATCCCCAACAGCACTGTCCAGGAGGAGGACCCCATGTTGACCCGACTATTTTCAAAGGAAAAGCCACCTTGGAGAATACCACTTAGCAACAATTTTTTATAATCTCATTTCCCAATGAGACAGTCGCCATGGCGACCCTCACCTATAAGGACCATACACCCAGGCTTTCCAGGGTTACCTGGTGTGAACTTGCTGATAAGCCTACAACACCAAGGATCCAAGAAGAATTCCAGAAGAGGTCATCAAGTTCAACCCAGTCCACGAGTATCTTCCATGATGGTCTCAATAAATATGTCTTCTTGAATACCTCCAGGGATGGGGAACTCACTCACTGTTCAGCTCATGGGCCAACCAGCTGTCATGTCCTCTCAATGACCTCTCCCAGTGAGTGACTGTTAGATCTTAATGACTCAGTTCTGAAAACAATTACTGCCCATCTCTCATGCTTCTGGAACTTTAACTGAAGAACCCACGCTGGTTTGAAAGGGAGGTCTTAAAAATCCCGTGTTCGTATTGGTAGCTGTGTAGCTGTATGAAGACAGACTTTTTTCTTTTCCACACGATCCAAACAAGCACTGCTACATTCTCGTCATGTTGCCTGTCCTGGACTTCCTCTCTCCTTGTTGAAAGGAGATGCAA